GGTCTCACTTAAAAGCGTCTTCAACCGACAACAAGCGTCTTCAAGTGACAACAAGCGTCGCCAGACAAAATCTTTAAAAATACTGAATAAAGTAAGCGACATCAGAAGATATGTTGTTAATATGACTATAATACACCTCTGTACCAAATTTCAATTTGATATTTGATAAAATGACCGAGTTATGATGAATTGAATTTTTACGATCGCGGCGTGGCACATGTGTGTATTAGCATGTAAAGTGAAGAAAGCGTCGCCAGATAATATCGTTACAATTACCCGCTAAAGTAAGCGACATCAGAAGATATGTTATTAGTTAGGCTTTTATTGATATATATTCCAAATTTCAGCTCGATATTTGAAAAAATGATCGAGTTATGATTAATTTATTATTACGATCGGCGGCGTGGCATACGTGTGTGAATAGAACTCGACATATGAAGAAGCGTCTTCAGAACATATCTCTAAAATTCATCGATTAAGTAAGCGACATCAGAAGATATGTTATTCATATAACTATGATACACCTTCATACCAAACTTCAGGAAGAAATTTTAATAAATGACCGATTCATGATGTTTTTGATTATTACGATCGACAGCTTGGCACACGTGTGTGAATAGAACTCGACAGATGTAATATCGACATAAATGTATATATATAATTTAGTCCGATTCTGCCCCGATCATGTAATTGCAATTCTTTTATCAAATATATGTTATACCCGATAAAAATTGTATAATAATATCAATATAGGTATCGTAAGTAATGACGACATAAATATATATATATTTTTCAGTCCGATTATGCTCCGATCATGTAATTGAAATTCTTTTATCAAATATACCTTATACCCGAAAAGGATAATTAAATATATACAATAAATATATAAAAACAAGTCCGATCCTCCCCCGTTTCTGTCCGTTCCTGTAAATCGTCGCCCGTTCCTGCCCGATCCATATCAATACAATACTCTTAATTCCTTGCAATTCTTTTATCAAATATATCTTATACCCGATAAAAAATATATGATACTAGAAATGTAGGTATCATAAGTAATATCGACATAAATGAATATATATAATTTAGTCCGATTCTGCCCCGATCATGTAATTGCAATCCTTTTATCAAATATATGTTATACCCGATAATGATACTTAAATGTATCTGATATATATATTCATTAATGTATATAATAATTAATAGATTGCAGCCCGTTCCTGCCCGTTTCTGCCCATTTCTGCCCGTTCCTGCCCGTTCCTGTAAATCGTCTAACCGGATTGTGAAGCGTCTTCAAACTATATCTCTTAAAATAATTGATAAAGTAAGCGACATCATGAGATATGTTATTCATATGACTATGTGGCACCCTGTTGTATTAAGTGAATATTATATATATTTAGGTTTTAATTTGATTAAGTTGGATTTGAAAGAAAATAAATACTTCACTTTGGAAGATTGTTAAGTAAGTTACATTTTCCGTTCGTGCCGCTGTGTCACGTGACCCGTATTTCCGCTTTCCGTATACTTGTTATTATGGCCCGTATTATGCACATTGTATAAGTATGTGATTGTGTAACACCTGTGATGTCATGTGTTATGTGTTGTATTCTTTTGTTGACCAGACTGACCACTTTGGACATGCATGCGCAATGCGACGCTTATTTTATTTCCCGCTTTTCTCTCTCTATTTCTTCACTTGGGCACTTTATTTACAAGGGGTCAGACCTACATTGTATAGATGAGTTTTTCCTAAGTTTGAAGATCGATGGCATAAATTGATTATTCATCCAATATATCCTCAGCACCACATGCAGGGTAAGTTATTTACAGAATGTGTATTTAATTAATTTAGCATTATTTGATAAATTATTATTTGGTAAATTATTGTTTTAGACTTACGTAAATTCCTTTGTGTAAATTAGTTGCAAGTCAAAGTAAAATATTATAAGTTACATTCTACACTGAGAATGTTCTATAATTCATTTGTATGTAACGATACAGTAACTCCATTTTTATCTAGAAGTCATAGAATTGTGTTCACGTCCTTTTAAATATTCCATTGTTCGCGTTATGTATTGTAAAAGTT